CGATGTCGGTGAAGATGAGGCAGTAGCGACGATGAGTACAATGATTCCTCCCCTTCCTTGTGCGTCGACGAGTCAGACGATGGTATCAATCGCTTGATAAGTTTGACGTCATTAGCGTTTATTCACGGCAGAGGGGGCGACGTCGCGGCGTGGTATTTTTCTCTCCGGTTACATCTTTGAATTGTGATGAAGCTTAGCCAGATACGGCTCCGTTGGGGATCTTATAAGGTTTGTGTCTCTAGTTGGGATTATCGGCATGCAAACGATCTCGGTGCTAGCGTCTCTTGAACGGTGATCTTTTCAAATCGGCAGCAACGGCGTCTTTTGATGTACATCAATGACTTTCTGACCGCTACTTGTGTAAGCTCTTGAGGTTTTAAACATCGAGCTTTGCTCACCGTGCCTTGTAGATGACTGCAGAAGGAAGAAGGTGTTGATTCCTTGAAGGACTTGCCCATATTTTATTATTAGCAAAAGGCATGTGCGTTGCAATGGGAGAAAAAAAATTAATAATCGCCAGTGATTAAGACCATATTTTGCTCCATCCGAGATACTATATCTCTGTCTTTCTCACTGAGACATTCCTGAGAGGATTATCCATGTATGTATTTATAAACAATGTACATGTATAAAGTGCTACACTTCAATCATAAAGGCATGGAACAACTTCTCAGCGCATTCGATTTGCAGAGTCGCTCCATGCACGATACAAGTGGTCGACCTATGCACGACACGTAGATCCAGCGGCCGACTCCCTTTGTCAATCAACGTGTGTCTGGCCAGATTTAATACATCGTATGTGCATCGTCCAAGTTTCATCGTGTGTGTAGCAAGACTTTCCATTTGTGTTGTTATCCATTGCAACTTCACACATAGACTAACAAAAGAAAAAGTGACATGTGTTCATTCTCATTGTAAAAAAAATGGTTAATTTAAATATCTAAATTACCTTTCCAATTAGTTAACCAAGCGTAAGGAGCCATTGCATTCATTGGTTACTTTAAATATCTAACAACGCTTAAACGGATGTAGTATTAATGAATTTTTTGAGGCCGTGCACCTCGGCTAGCTTGCCCATGAGCTGCCGATGGATGTCGTCGAGTGCAGCCTCGGTGCGCGTTAGCGCGTGAGGTGGCGGGTTACGGTGTGGTTGAGCGAATCAGAAGGTGTAAAACAGGTTCGCTTTTTCTTTAGAACAATGAGGCGGGTTCATGGGCGGAAAGTCCTATATGACGCTCTCTGTGTCAAGGAGTTGACCAAATGCAAAATTGTGTTTTTGAAAGTATTCATAATTATTTTTTAAAAATAGTCTTTTTAAAAATAAAAAATATCAAAAAAATCCTGTTGTCAAATTTGTGTTCATAAATTAAAAATTTGTACGGGGATATAAAAAAATTCGTGTGTTTCAAAAATTGTTTGCTTTTTAGAAAAATGTTCAGATTTTTTAAAATGTTCCCACTTTAAAAAAATCCAGAAATTCTAACAAATGTTCCTGTTTCCAAAATATTTGTTCGGGAATTAAAACTATTTCCCCCCTTCTCAAAATTTGTTCACAGATGCAAAAGATGTTACATATTTTAAAAAAAATCACAAATTGAAAAATTGATCACATTTTTCAAAAAAATAGTGTTTGTACAATAATGTTTGGAATTAAAAATAATTAATCTGAATATCGAAGATGTTTTCAAAAAGGTTGAATAATATTCTGATCTCCCCGTGTAGTTAATTCTTAAACCTTCAAAAAATGGTGTTTGTAAAATAATGTTTGGAATTAAAAATAATTATTCTGGATTTCAAAATGTTTTCAAAAAAGTTGAATAATATTCCATCTCCCCGTGTAGTTAATTCTTAAACTTTCACGCGGCACTATAGTCACAAAGCGGCATTATAGTCACAAAGGGTCATAAGTTCCACTCATGGACACGTGAGGTTTTCGTCACAAGCTCGATTCCTCAATAATGCACAGACTTTTTTTTTATTTTTCCACTGCTTGTGGGCTGTTGAAACTGCATGGCCCGGACCAGAAAGGGGTCTCTCAATGGGCAAAACAAAACATTTTTTTTGTCACTTATAGGTGGCATTGGTGGATAATATTTTGTAATGTTTGGAGAAATTTGCATGACAGATGGGCAGAAACGTTTGTCGCTTTATTAGTAGGTATAGATTGTATGAAAATTCTTGTAAAGATTGGTTTATTTAGTATATGGACTTAGTGCATCTCCAATGTCACCTCCTAAATTGGACTCGCTATACATTCGTGGACACTTCCGCGCACATAGATACAGGAGCCGTCCGTCCAACGCAGTGCCCTAAACATCTGCACACGTTTTAAATGGAAATTGAATTAAATGGATAACTTTCATGAAAATGACATGGAACAACTTCTCAACGCATTCGATTTGCGGAGTCGCTCCATGCACGATACAAGTGGCCGACCTATGCACGACACGTAGATCCAGCGGCCGACACCCTTGTCAATCAACGTGTGTCCGGCCAGATTTAATACATCGTCTGTGCATCGTCCAAGTTTCATCATGTGTGTAGCAAGGCTCTTCGATTTGTGTTGTTGTCCATTGCTTCTTCACACATAGACTAACAAAACAAAAAGTGACATGTGTTCATTCTCATTGTAAAAGAAATGGTGAATTTAAATATCTAAATTACCTTTCCAGTTAGTTAACCAAGCGTAAGGAACCATTACATTCATTGGTTACTTTAAATATCTAACAACGCTTAAACGGATGTAGTATTAATGAACTTCTTGAGGCCGTGCACCTCGGCTGGCTTGCCCATGAGCTGCCGATGGATGTCGTCGAGTGCAGCCTCGGTGCGCGGCAGCGCGCGACGCGGCGGGTTACGGTGTGGTTGAGCGAATCAGAAGGTATAAAACAGGTTCGCTTTTTCTTTAGAACGGGTTCATGGGCGCAAAATCCTATATGACGCTCTCTGCGTCAAGGAGTTGACCAAACGCAAAATTGCGTTTCTGGAAAGTGTTCATAAGTTTTTTTTAAAAACGTCTTTTTAAAAATAGAAAATGTCAGAAAAAATTCCTGTTGTCAAATTTTTGTTCATAAATTGAAAAATTGTGCGGGGATATAAAAAATCGTTTGTTTCAAAAATTGTTTGCTTTTTAAAAAAATGTTCAGAATTTTAAAAAATGTTCTCACTTTCAAGAAAATCCAGAAATTCTAAGAAATGTTCCCGTTTCCAAAATATTTGTTCGGGAATTAAAACGATTTTCCCCCTTTTCAAAATTTGCTCACAGATGCAAAAGATGTTCCATATTTTAAATTTATTCACAAATTGAAAAATTGTTCACATTTAAAAAATTGGTGTTTGTAAAATAATGTTTGGAATTATAAAGAATTATTCTGAATATCAAAGATGTTTTCAAAAAGGTTGAATAATATTCTGATCTCCCTGTGTAGTTAATTCTTAAACTTTCAAAAAATGGTGTCTGTAATATAATGTTTGGAGTTAAAAATAATTATTCTGAATTTCAAAAATGTTTTCAAAAAAGTCAAATAATATTCCAATCTCCCCGTGTAGTTAATTTTTAAACTTTCACGCGGCATTATAGTCACAAAGGGTCATAAGCTCCACTCATGGACACCTGAGGTTTTTGTGCAAGTTCGATTCCTCAATAGTGCACAGATTTTTTTGATTTTTCCACTGCTTGTGGGCTGTCGAAACTGCATGGCCCGGACCGGAAAGGGGTCTCCCAATGGGCGAAACAGAACATTTTTTTTGTCACTTATAGGTGGCATTGATGGATAATATTTTGAATGTTTGGAGAAATTTGCGTGACGGATGGGCAGAAATGTTTGTCGCTTTATTTGTAGGTATAGATTGTATGAAAATTCTTGTAAAGATTGGTTTATTTAGTATATGGACTTAGTCATCTCTAATGTCACCTCCTAAATCGGACTCGCTATGCTTTCGTGGACACTTTCGCGCACATAGATACAGGAGCTGTCCGTCCAACGCAGTGCCCTAAACGTCTGCACGCGTTTAAAATGGAAATTGAATTGAACGGGTAAATTTCATGAAATTGAACGAGACGATATTTAATCCGTTCAACTAATTTTTTAAAAACTAACAAAAAAACTACGAAAGGTATTCAATGATAACCTCGTACATATGGCCGTCCTAGCCGGTTGGACCGCCATTTTGTGGTCGTCATTGTGGTCCTTCTAGCGGCGGAAGGGCATGTAACGGCCATGGTAGACCTGATTGGCCGACGCGGCATAGCCGCTCGACTTCCTCCGCTGCCACACGCATGGCCTTGTCGGTGCGGACGCGGCCCTAGCACGCCCAACCCTCGCCTTGGCCTTTGTCGCTGATGAGGGTAGCATCGTGTAGCGACTCGGGAACATTGATCTTGACGAGGTGGTCACTGAGGCGGTGCGGGCACTGTGCGGGACGTCTGTGTGGTGGTCCTGAATCGACCAATGGGCCAGGAATCCATGAGTGCAAGGTTCATGCGGACCTAGTCCAGTGTGATGTCAGACATCGCAAATGCTGCCCGCTGCTCCTCCTCCGCCAGCATGTTGCGGGACGACGCGTTGTCGTTGGCGCTACCGAGGTAATGCAGGAGGCGCCCACGCGCGTTCGCGAGTGCCGGGGAGGGCTCCTGCTTCACGACGACAGAGCGCTAATGAGGCGGTGATTGCAGCGCCCTCTCCTTGCCACGAAGCAGGATGACGACGTCCAATTTGGATGCCGCGATTGTGCCGGGAAGAAGGGGCTCCTGCTTCATGTGGTGGCAAGGAAGCAACATCGACTCCTCCTTCATGTCGTAAACAGGCAGCTACAGAGGCGTCAGACCGCGATTACAGAGTGAATGCTCGAGGAGGAGCTCCAGATGTGTCTGCTACTCGTCTGTTGCCATGGTATCCATGAGGAGGGCGGTTGCGCCTGGTCCTCCTTGTCGTCCGAGGAGAGGATGATCTCATGTCTATCGGGGGTGAAGGAGGAAGGCCCAAGAGAACATAGGCGAAGGCATCAAGAGCTGCATGGAGAGCCGGATCCAGCCGTCGACCCCGAAAACCAACCGCTATGGCCAGACTTGCCCATCGCCACGGAGGTGACGATGGTGTGAAGAGAGCAAAGGAGCGAGGCGACAAAGAGGACAGGAGATGAGATGCATTTTGGGTGGCGCCGGTGCTCTGCTTAAATGTCGGAGCATGTGAAGCAATGCTGCTTCAATGCGGTGCAACAGGCGCGTATGTGGCACGTATCTGGATGCCCACAAACCTCGTCAACTTTTGGTGCCGAGTTGTGAGAATTCGGATACCCGGACGCGTCGTTGGATTATAAAATTGGTTTAGACACCGGTGTCCAAACATATGCCCACGTTTTATGGCAACGTGTTGAAGATGCCCTTAGGTGATTTCCAAAAAAAAAGGAATTAATTTTCCTTCATTTAGTAGGAAGAAGTGTGAAATTTTATTTCGTGCTCTTTCAGTTCACCATATAAAATACTCTTAACTTTTTTTCTGATCGGATATATATAAACATAGTTTAATATCTTTTATTCAGTTATTTAAATCCATATGCAATTCATTGAAATATCCAAAACATCTTATAGTTTTTTTTTGTATTTTTCTGAATTTATTTCATATTTTTCGGCGAGTTCATTCAGTGGAAGGAAATATTCCTGTCGACTATAAGACACTTGTGATGACTTTGTTAATCTTAAAATGTTATGCCGCTTAGTATTTTCCAGGTGCTCCATTCTTTTAACGGTGGAATTATTTTTCCAGTTCAAAAAAAATTAAACGATGAAAATTATTTTTTGAGGGTGAAATCTTGAGGACCGATGTGCACCGTCCGACACATTGAACGGCTGCGAGTGTACTTCACCCCGGACTGCACACGGCGTTATCCTCAAAGAATCGGCTCACCGTCGCCACCTGCTCCCGTCCTCAGCATGGCCGCGCTCCGCCCCGCCCCCCGCGCCGCCATCGGCGACCGCGGGCCGTCCGCCGTCCGCCGCGGCTCCCGCCGGCCCTCGTACCTCTCCCCGGCGTCCCCGTGCTGGCAGCAGGTTGTTCTTCAACCTCCTATCCATTTCCATCCTCTGTTCCCGGTGGGGTTTCGACGAGAGTTCCGGTTTAATCAGGAGAAACTGATTGATTGGTGCTCCTTTTGAGTTCTCTCTGTGGTTCTTTGCTAGCGCTGCTGGTTCCTGGGCCTGAAAGCGTTCTTGGGTTTTAATTAACCTTGGGTAGATGCAGGGATGATCTGAATCGAGGTGCCGGGCTACCTTGCGATTGTTTCCCTTTCCCCTTTGTCGGGGGAGGAGTTTGGTTCTTGAAATTTGTTATGCCTGGCCGATTCACTGGGTTCTTGGCGATTGGTTCAGATATGCCAATAGGCCCAATACTCCAGTCACTAGTACAGCGGGAATTGCTGGAAATTTTACTGCCCAAGTAGGCCCACTTGAAATAGACTACGAACTCTTCACCTGAACTGATAGAGTCATAGATATGTGGAACGGTCGCTATACATTACTTGACTATCTTATCTAATCGTGTGAAACTGGTCTTGCTCTGTAGTTTTTGTGACACAGTTTCGCACTGAAGCTGCGATTCTGTAAAAATGATCTTATCTTAAGTTGGAGGCCAAAGCTTGTACTTGTACGAAATCTACTCAAATTATTAAGTTCTGCACTCTCCAACTCAAAGCCATACATGAATTTTTTGTGCTTGCTTGTTTTGCTACCCCAAGTTGGCCGGTAGCTGCCAAATTTTGGCAAAGGCTGGTGATTTCGTCTGTTGCAAATGTTGCCATATCCTATGGGCATTGTCAATCCAGTTGGAGGTTCCTGGGTTTGGCAACTTCTTTGGCAAGAGAATTTGGGGCATAAAAACCAAGCATGTATTTAATAATTCTTGCTGAATTCAAGTTGATTCATCTCTTACATTAGTTTTAAATCGTCATTAGATATATATGTGCAAAGTTGTGATCACAGCCTTATCAACTATATGAATTGCAGGGAAATATCTTGAACCGAAAATCCAAATGCACTACCAGAAAGCTACTGACTACTGTTACTGGTGCAAAGGGTGATGAATCTGAATTTGATAGCGTCAATGCACCACTTGAGCCCCAAACATGGGAAGGGAGCTTCTTGTGTGGCTTATTGAAGAACCAGCCTCAAATTTTCCTAGTAGCTGCAGCAAAGCAACTTCAGCGACTGTCTATTCAAAGGAAAGACACACTGACCCGCTGGGAACATAGTATCGGTTCTTCCGAGGACTGTCTTCACAGGTTAGTAATACCTGCCTGTCCATTTTGGAAATATTTAGTCGCAGGCTCTCAGCCTCTGAAGAGTTTGATGTTGCTGCTTTTGTTTCGCTTCCAATGTTTTTCTGTATACGTTTCCAACATTTCCGAAAACAGAAGATAATGCGCTCTTGTATAAGAATGACAAACACATTAGTTCGACATGACCTCATAGCACCTGGAGCGTAATACGAGTGTTTTACCTTGTAAGTGAGGCTGAAATCCAAAAGAAGAAAGGATATCACCAGAGGTCTATGCTGGGAACATAAACCTGGACAGGCTAACGTGTTCCCTAGTATCAGTGTGGACAAGATATGGGTCATTGTTAGTATATCTAAATGAAAGAATAAGGACAGTAAGGTCCTATATTCAATCCGGGATTCTCTTCCATGTTTGCCATTTGTTTATTCATGACCTACATATGTCAGATTTAACTTTTGTTAGAGGCTGTCAGATTTAACTGAATCCGTTAATGTAGCTGGTGCAGTTTTTGTATTCCTGACATAGCAAACATCATCAACCTGATTTTTCGTTTGGTTCTTTTCACTTTTGTTACTGTATTATATTTTTCCTGGATAACTAAGTATTTTGTCTGGAACCATTACAAACAGGAGAATTGCTGAAATGAAGGACCAGGAGTGCAGGACTGCTATTGAGGACGTCATGTACATGTTGATTGTTCATAAATATTCCAAGATTGAGGTTCCGATGGTTCCGAACCTATCAAAAATCATTAGTAATAGAAGATTACACATATGGCCACCAAGGGAGGCAGATCTTGAATCCATTCATGGACCTGAGGTGCTAGGTCAAATTAAGGAGCACTTGACTAGCATTATCAGATGGGTGCACAGGAATGGCCCCAAGATCAATCGCTCAACACTTCGGGTCAAAAGACTGCAATTAGGTCGGATCTATTCTGCTTCGATAATGTATGGGTACTTCCTCAAATCTGTCGCTGTAAGGCATCGCTTGGACCTGACTTATGCTCGGTCCGAAGAATTTTTACAGCCAATTCAGCTTCTCAATGCTCAACTTGCAACTACCCGTAAAAAGGAACAGCAAGAGGCCTTTGGCGGTTCTGTGGAAACGGTGCCTTCCTCGAAACCACGGTCTGTCGTTGATCCTCATGACTTGAAGGGTTACATGATGGGCTTTGACCCAAAGACCTTGGAGTTGTGCGCGAAGCTGCGCACAAACGAGGCTTGTAATCTCATTGAGAAGCACAGCTGGGCACTCTTTGGAGAAAAGATGGGCTCCACGGAGATTGACGAGGCGGTGATACTTGATCCGGCATCCCTCAAAAGGCTGCTGCTTGAAGCCATTGCATTTGGTTCCTTCCTTTGGGATACTGAAGACTATGTTGATGAGATATACAAGTTGCAGGACAGCTGAAAATGGATCTCCAGAAGATTCCTGAAGCACTGGAGATACGGAGCTCGCTGGAAGAAGAGTTTGCAGAAGATTCCTGGGACCTTGTATATACTTTAGGAAAATACCCTTTTCTTCTGTGCATGTAAATCTTGACCTTGCAGGTGCTAAATTATTTAGTAGCTTTTTTTTTTCTGAAATAAGAACCTTGCAGGCACTAAAAGAATAATCTACTTATGACCTTGTTGTATAGATGGTGCCAGTAAGCATATGTCCATTTAGGCATTCGCTTGCATTCTGTAATCTGTAATACAGTGTAGTGATGCACTCATGCATCTTCAGATGCAAGAAGATTTTGTTAAGTAGAAAGTGTCAAAGTCCATTTGGCCATGACTCAAAGCTATGATTGATGGATTGATCTCCAGACAGATGGAGCAATAACGCAAGGGGAGGAGCCACACCAACATAAACATTCGTGCCCCTCACCCGACTAATGCGCCCTGATCAGGGGCACCCTAACCAGGATGCCGATAGCCGCCATGATCGTCTACACTGACCCTTCATCACGCCTGTGACGAGCAGGCAAGGGACCTTGCTTCGACTCCGGTAATGGCCTTACCCATTGCCCCTAAGATCTCAACACTGTCTGTTATGTGCAGTTAGGTGCTCCAATTCTAGGATTACAGTCTAATTAATTTAAACCCAAGGATTATTCCTAACAATGGTATCAAACCTGTGACCAAGCTTAAGTAATGAATTTCAGTTGTGTCTCAGCTATTCCATAAACTCCAGTTAACTGCTCATAGAAAGAAATAAAAAATATCGAACCTGACTTAAATGGTTACATGGCACTTTTCCGTCTTCTGCGCATCTGCTTAGACTGTCAATAGATACACCAATGCAGAAACTCAATACAGTTGAAAATTTCAAGCATCAGAATGCATATAATCATTCACCACAGGCATGTCCAACACATCGATTCTCTTCGGTGATTTGAATAATAAAGAGAAGAGTTATAACCTACATCTTGATTATTTTGTGTCTACTTTCCATTTGTGTTCTACCATGGTCTCAACACATAAATCATAGTCAGCCAAACAGATTGATGCTTGTTAGAGATGCAACTGAAACAAACCACTTTCAAAGCTTGAAAAACTAGCCAACTGGGAAGAGAACTGTTTAGTAGTACAAACTCTGTACATCAGAGACGAAATTATAATGACCCTGATGAAAAAGGATTCTTAGATCATTCTACAATAACAACAAAGCCTTTAGCAAGTTAGATCACCGTGCTATTCCTTTAGGGCGAGAACCTAATTCGACATATTATCGGTATCGTCCTTCCTTCCCTGTTTTGTCATCTGAAGGACTGAAGTCAGAGAGAACGTTCTCTGCTCAAGACACTGGCTGAGCATCCGAGGATCCCGCGCCCTGGTTATCTTTCTCGCTCGGTCTCCGCTTCATCGCTCTCTTGACTTCTGCCTCCTTCTTGTCAACAAACTCTACCAGCTCTCTGAAGCCGCCAAAGCGTGACGGTCTCCGCGGCCTTTCGACAGTATCGGTGGCAGCGGCGGTGGGGGCGGCAGCATCAGCTGCACCGGGCTCACCGGCAGCTTCAGAGCTAGAATAGCGGCTATACTGCCAGCAGACCCGTATGAAGAACACCAGCAGAGCCAAGAGGCATATCAGGGCACACACGAGGAAAAGGCCCCAGAAGCTTCGGAGGCCAAGGCTGGTTGCTCCCACCTCAGTGTCATCAGTGGAGCAGCTCGGCCTCGTGAACCACTCGTCGTGGATCCTCTGGAGCTGGCCACTCTCCGAAAGTTGAAGGATGGCCGTCGATAAGTCCGCGGCAAGGGGGGAGTCTCTCTGGAATGCCTGCAAAGAAGAAGAAGATAATGGAGAAGAATAAGTAGTTTCCCTGACAATGAGATGAAATGTGGATGAGTGACCAAGAGAGAGTGGTTAGAGCAAGGAAGATGATGAACGTACAAAGCCCCATCCCTCCTTGGTGAACTCCTGCCCCACTATTCTGAAATCGCAGTGGTACGACAGGAAGATCTCAACATATGGCATCTCATCGATGATTGCAGCGACGCCTCCGTCTCCTGACCCGCGTCTAAGGGCGTCGGCATACTCATGGATCGTATTTAGCGCTACTAATCGAGACTCTGGGATACTGAGCTCTTCGATCAGGTAGTTTTTGGTGAATTTTCCAGCCTGGTATCCAATAGGTAAACCACTTGAGATCAGATTGTCGATCCCGGTTATTCCTGTGGATAGCTGTTGGACTGTGAGGATTGACGTCAAGCTAGCGGTATAGCTCGAATTGATTATCAGCACAACGAACAACCATATGATCAACACGAACCGCCCAAGCGCGCTCCCGGTGTTCTGCCCTGAAGTGAGTTTCATGTCAACATGTTTCCATCCAGAACATGGAAAGCAGCATGGATGAGTTATGTGATGGATCTAGTGTACTTACTGTGTGAGAAGAACATTGTTGAGAAGCTAAACCTGAAATATTATAAGAATGAAACGTCAGTCAATTCTTTCCCAACATACAAGTAACATTTACAAAAATTGCCTCATGAATTTCAGACTCAAGACAGACTTGGTAGCAAGCATAGGATAGAATACATCCCTATCTAGCAACAGAAGCTTACCAAATTATTGTTATAATTTGTCGTCGCGGAGAGCCTCGAAACTCCTCATTGGTCCGATGTTCAAGAATCCAAACAACAATCCCCACGAAAATAAAAAGAGCGCATGTTACACACCACATCTCCAATGTAAAGGGTTTCATGAAAGCCCAGGCACTCGAAGGTGCTCTTTGCACCGGTGCTACTATCACAAGCCCTGACTCAATATAAGGCTGCGTGAATTCTGCCATCTTTGTTCTGTTTCTCACAATGGCAAAGTCTCCTACAGCTGCATCAAGAGACTAGTGAAAATGAAACAGATCAGAGAACTGATAACAAAATGGTTAAATACATACACCGGAACGAAGAATGAGATCGAGCGTACATTTTCAGCGATCATGCCAATAATGTCGTTGTAGTTAGGGTTCTTTTTACCATCCCCGATCGTTATGAACTGGCAAGGAACCGGATAAGGAAGCAGTCTGATAGCCTCGTTGAATATATCGACGCAATAGCCAGTCACATTATCAGAGCCCCTGCCACCTGCTACTAACTCCTTGAAGCTCGCCTTGATCGGAACACCGACACGCAGAGGCTTACCATTGTTAGGGAAAACCCACCCCTTAGGTGTAGTGGTGGAATCACCTGGCCAGACCACATTGTAGAGCCGTTGGGCAACTGAAGAATTATTTGATGGCTTCTGATACAAAGTTTCAGGAGCAGCAACAGAGAGGCCTGAGTAGTTGGACCAGTAGCCAATCAACCGGGAGCCGGAACCACCCACATTAAGGATATCATACGCTGGGCGTACCAGGTTGCGGTCCGGACCAAATCGTACCGAACCAGTTAGGCCTGTGAAATTCGTGAGTAGAAGCTGCTGCAGCATCTGCTCACCACCATCAAACACCTTGAGAGTTGACAGCTGCAAAGTACTATCATTTGAACGGTGCAACCTTGGATCTGTAGAGAAGTTGACCTGCTGCCCATTATCAAGAAATTTATCGATGCCGCGAGCGACAGCCCAGACCGAGTCGTATGCATAGAAACCATATGAATTCAAGCCAGAAGTAATGCCCCTGCTACGAGCGGCATTGTTCCATTTGGTAGTGAACTTATCCTTGGCATCAGATTCAGGAGTGTGCTGGCGAAGAACAATCAGTCCCTGAATATGACTCATACCTTTAAGATCTCCAGATGCCGAAGAATCCAGGACAGCAGCTAGCCAGTCAGTCACTATCCAGACATAGCCACTGGCCATCATCTGGAGCTTGTTGGCAATAGAAAATATCCTCATCCCTGTGTCAGGATTGGCATGCACAACCATGACCCTTGATTCCATCATATTTGCTCTGAACAACACATCATTGATCACCTCTGTGTTTGAATTTGGAGGAATGGCTGCTTTGTGTGAAATCTTTGCCCTCTTTGCTGCAAGTGCGTCGCCGAGGGCCGACACACCACCTCGCCCATAATCATCGTCGACGAATATAGCAGTCACCTCTTTCCACTGGTAGTAATCGACAATGCTAGCAACGGCGTTCATCTGGAAGTAGTCACTCATGGTTGTCCTTATGAAGTAAGGATACTCTGATGCGGAAAGCGTCGGATCAGTGGCCGCAAATGATAGAAGAGGAACATGTAGCTCGTTAACAACATGGGAGATGACATGGCCTATTCCAGATGACTGTGGGCCAATAACAGCAACTACATTTTTCTCCATTAGCTCCAATGCTGCAACCAAGTAAAAAAAACTGTGAATCAGTTCGCGGACTATCCAACAGAGCAGCAGCTACATCTGATAAATCGAAGCTAAGTTTTCATATCTATAAGTGTCCATTCTGCTCAAAAGTTAGGATCTACAAATGGTAAGCAAAATTGACTCATATTAAGCGAACTTTATTGTCTGACAGAAACAGGAAAACTAGTACTGCTTCAAGCAAAGAGGAGCAGCCTCCAATAAATCTGTTTATTCTGATGCTCACACATGACACAAAAAGAAAAGAAAAAAGGGATCTTGCATGAGAATAAAGTGGAGAATTGGATTCCCCATAGTAGGTGAGACACGTTTCTTGCACCATCCGGAATACTATAAAGCAAGTTCATAAGTTTTGCCATTTGTGGTATCACTGCACCGGCATGCTTTTTTTGTCTGTTTCTCTTCTAGTATTACCAAGACAGTATGGTTTATCAAAACCCTTAAGAAAGGACAATGCCATCATAAGGTCAAGCGAACAGTTGGCCTCTCTGTTTCCAGTTTAAACATTATCAAATCATGTCATGAGGCACGAGGCAGGCAATTATTGTAGTTAAACTATAGTATAAATAATGGGCAAGAGGTCACCTTGACCTTAGTTCAGACAGATAAATACAGTAAACCAATAA